TGGGTGAAGGTCTGGCTCCAGACTCCAAGCTCTTAAACATTGCTTTAAAAAAAGAGAATAATATTGTGATATAATAAGAAATATGCTTGGTCTTTGTCCCCACTTTCTGGCACAGAGCTCCTAAAGTCCTGGAGTTTCCTGAGAAACAGGAGTGACTTTTGTTCTCCCAGGAGCCTCTTTGGCGCTCCCCTGAGTCTATGCTAATGAAGCGGCTTTAGCTTGGCCTCAGAAAGGGGCTGGTCACTGGAAAGAGCAAGGATTGGAGGGCTGGAACACTGAGCCCTGCTGAAGTTGAGGATGAAGCTTGAACCTGTGGGGTCTGACGCTGTCTCCAGGCAGACAGCGTCAGGATGGAGGGAAAGTGTAGGACACCCGGTAAATGTCTTCTGAGAATTGAAGAGTTACTTGGCCATGTCAGAAAACACTCCAGAAATGCAAAAAAACAGAACTCAAATAAGAAGATATTTATGAAGTCTCATTCAAAGGTAGTAAGAAAGTTCTGCGGGAGGTCCAAGATAAACTCTCTTGCAGAATCGATAGCACTGTTTTGATTTTGACAACCTTTGAACAGATAAATCCAATCAAGAATGTAGAAATCCAACATCAAGCACCAAAACTCTTGTGGAAACTCTTTCATCTCCCCACAATCTTCACCTCTCTGATGGGAAATCCCAGAAGCGACTAGATATCGTTCTACATCAGAAGGATGGTATAAGGGCATGGCAGGATATTCTGCTCAGAGATTTTTACTGAGGCCAGTTCAGGACCCATGACACCACCAGACATCAGAGAGTGGAGCATGGGGTGGTTCTTCAATCTCGGCCACCCGCAGGGCAATATGTATATGACGCCAGGGACAGGCTGGTTACCCTTCCCAGGTAGAAAAGGCCAGGAACCTGTAAAGAAGACAGCTTCGCCTCTTGTAAACGCTGGCCACGTGTACCAGGCACGCTTTCAGAATGCATGCCAGCTTGTTCCCACCGCACACTTCTGAAGCAACGAGTCTCCCGACGTTGTAACTTGTGAACGTATTCCTTTTCTTTTCAGTCGGCTTTCGGAACAGTTTTTTAGTTTTTAATGTTAAGAACTAAATAAAACTGAATTTCTTTAAATTATTTAATTTAGTAATTTAGAGAAAATAATTTAAAAAGAAAAATAGATAATTCATCAAGTTTCAAAAGGTTTTTATGAAGCTATCTTTTCAATAGAAACATATCGTAATTAACTTTGGAAAAACAAAACTTTCAATACCTCTTATTGTTATGCTTAAAACATAGTTTACCAATATAATGTAAAAACTTTTTTCCTAGATACACCATTTCAATTTTCTCCAAAGCACAAAGGAAGAGCATTGTGATGACAGTAAGGACTCACGAAATGCTGGTTCAATACACCTTGGGTATCAGAGGCCATAGCGATCCTTCGAAGATGTGAATCTGGCTGAGTTATTCTCTATTTCATGTTTCCACGGCTCCTTACTGCTCCAGGAATAAGTCCACATTCCTCAGCCTAGAGTCTAGGGTGAGCAGGAGCCACATGCTGCCAGACCTTTGAACCGCTCCCTCTCCCTTCCCTCCCTCCTGTGTCTGGACCGCCTTCCTGGCCCTCTCCCCTCGCCCCTCACCCCTCTGCTGCTCTTGCTGCCTCAGGTCTCAGTGGGACGCTCCTGGTCTCTCCCAAACCCCGCCCCCCAGCAAGACTTCCGCGTGTCTCTAGTCTACACCTTCAGTGAAGAGAGAGACGACGTTTTCTCCCTCACATCCACGGCGTCCAGCACAGTGCTGACACACAGTCTGTGGCAGATAAATGTCTGTTCAATCAACCAACAAGCAACATTATCAAAACAGTGATGCAAGACCAAATTAGGTCACATGCTTCTAGATACCCAGTCAAATGCCATCCGTGGCACACGCTCCATCTGCATTATCCTTTGAAAACGTTTTTAATTCTTCCCGCAAGTAATATTTGAATGTCTACTACCTGCCAGGTACTGTCCTAGGTGCTTGGGATACACATTGTTGAACAAAACTAAGGTCCCTGTCCTGCTGGGTCTTATATTCTCACAAGAGGACAGACAATAAACATAATCAGTAAGTGATGATATACGACCTTAGGTGATAGTTGCTATGGAGGAACAATGGAGCAGGGTGAGGAGGAGCAGCATGCGGGAGGGCAGGGTGCAGGCTGCGGTTTTAATGAGGGCGTTGGGTAGACCTCTCTGAGACGGTGACACTGAGCACATATCAGAAAGAGTAAGCAAGTGTTCGCCCCGTGGACACCGAGGGGAAGGACCCAGGCAGAGAACGGTAACGCAGGCGCCGGATCCCTGGGGAGAATTTCCTCAGCCCACTCCAGGAACAGCCTAGAGGCCAGAGTGGTTGGAGCAGAGCGAGTCGGGGTGGAGGGGGTGCTGTGGGCAGAGAGCAGAAGGCAGGTAGGATGCCCAGGGCAGGCGAGGGGCCGTAGTTCCCCTCGAGTGAAGTGGAGAGCCACGCCGGATCCCAGGCAGAGGACTGACACGATTTGGCTTACATTTTAAATATATAAGCACTATTTGGGGAATAAGCTCTTTTTCAGTAAACAAGAGAATGGTCTTTCTTAATTGATAGTTTCCGCTTTCACGTCTCTTGAACATTTTCTTGTGCAGCCAATTCTGGGCCAAAGGATGAGTGTTATCCTGTATGTCTCACTCTTTATCCAGTATTTCTCAGCCAAGTGTTCTGGCACATGGGAATGTTATGACCTGTGGCCAGGATTTTCCCAAAATTCACAGCCAAGTCGATTTTTTGGACACTGTCTTAAGGTGGAACATAGAAAAAAAATGTAATTTTAGTTCTGATTTTAAAATATGATTTCAAAATAAGTAGTGGTATGAGTTCTTAAAATAAAGGACACAGGATTCATGACACAATACAAGAATTTATAATTATAGCTACATAATTGTCCTGCAAAATGTTACAGCATTGTTGGATCCGTGCTCCCTGTGGACCTTTGGAACAACACCAGCATCAGAGAAGCCGTCACTTCCAATCCTTGTCAGCTCTTACCAGAGCAGAGCAAGATGTATACATTTATTGGAATGGGTCCTAGAAATGTTTTGACATCAGCCAAAAAGCAAAGCCACATAAGGCTATTTCCAAAGTAAACAAGAGAAAATATTTTATATTTTATAATTAAAAATTAATGATATGGGAAAATACTTATAATGATACGTTTGATGCAGAATGAAACCAGATTCAGACCCATGGCCTCAGCATACACAAATATGTGATAGAAATAAAAACTGGGTGGAGATACTAAATTGTTAACAGTGGTTATCTTTGAATGGTGATGTCATAGGAGGGTTTATTTTTCCGCACATCATTTATAATAGATAACCATGTATAGTATTTTTAATGCTTTTCTATTTTGACATAAATTATATGTTTCAATATATAAATCTATTTAATATTTTCTGTATGTAAACTTTCAAGATTATTTTTAAAGAAAATAAAAATATAGTCAGGGAATACCTAAGAAGTAAAAAAAAGTGAAATCTTTTGATCTAGTCAATGGTACAAAGCAGATACCAGAATATAGTATAGATTGGAACACCTTATTTGAAGACAATTATGAATTTTCTAGATGCTAAATCAATGCCATTAGCTGCTATCAATTTAAGCAAAATAAGTTAGTAACAGTCTCTTTGGCGCTAACTGTAGGGTATTTGACCATTTACCAAATTATTAATGAAACTAGCTTTAGAGAGATCCTTAAGATGGTGCAAGCCTTAAAAGTGCTGTCATTAAGGAATAGATAACCGGGATAAATATTTCATGGAAAAATCAACAAGGAAAAGGAAAGTTTGCATAAGAATCTAAACTCCAAATACCTACAAGTGTCCTTACTGGGAAGTGTGGAATAGAACTAATGCTAATTTTCAACTCCTGATGCACTTGTTCAAAATCCTCCACACAGCATTGCGGGTGGAAAAACATCATTGCTTTCCAGGTTGGAAGGCGCTCTTCTGGTACGTTTGTCCAGTGAAATCCTGCCTTAACACCTGGCTTGATATAAATAGGAAATAGTGGCATCTCTGTTTCTGTAGGGGGCTTTTCAGCCTTTCAAAGGCAACCACTTCTAACGGGTGTGATTCCTTTAAGAACACATGCTTTTGGTTTTTTTCCTGTTAAGTCTTTGCTCTAGAAACTTTGGAAAAATCAGTGTGTTTCGAGCTCCATTTCATGGAGAGCCAGTTGTGTTCAACGATCCCAAAGCATGCCCACGAGGTCTTCCTTCTCCTTGGAGTTCTTCTTCCACAGTTAGCTTATTCTCACATTTCATGGCCCCAATTGTCCCAGGCCTCCCTCAACAGCAAGTTAAGTACAGGGGTGTTCAAATCGCTGTTCAGAGAGTATTTTCCCTCCAGATATAAAGCCTGGTTATGATAATGGAGGGAATTCTGACCAGTCTCCTGAAACAAAGTCACGTCCACACTTCTGGGGTTCCGCTCAGTTCTCTGGAAAGTCCACCCAGGTGAGCACCTCCTTCCTACAAAGATGGTCTCTCATTCTGATTCACCCTTAGGAGCTTTTAAGTATTTTGCTGAAACCCCCCATCCCAGGAGTTGGAACGCTTGATGCAAACGTGCTGTTCCATTTCCCAGTGTTCAGTTTGGTTGGGCGGGACGCTGGTTTTTCTTCCCAGTCGTCAAACAGAACTGCAGGCTCCTTCGTTAAGCAATGAAGGCCGTGGTATGAAGCCCATGTAGACTCCAGGAGACACTGCATTTCAGAGCCTCCCTGAGCCGTAAAAAGACAGAATGTTATCACAAGTGTAATACTCAAGGGCGGGCTGGGAAGGCGGGAGCACCATTTTCCTGTTGAATTAAATTTCTTTCTCGGCCAGGAAATCACTTACCTTTCTAGATTTCTTCTAAGAGAGTCAACCCATAATGAGCCTGCTGGAATGAGCCAGCCTCCTGGGAAGTGAGTTTGGATGCGGATCCTTCTGCCCCAGCTGAGACTGGGATTGCAGCTGCTCAGTCACGCACTTACATTCTAAACTGCCTTTTAGAATCTCCAGGTCTACATTCAAGGGGGAACTTCATGTCACGGTGGCCACTTGACCTTCTGCGGAGAGCAGCTGGCCTTGGGAAACCATTATGGGAATATTCAGAAAAACTTAGCTCTCCGTTGGCCACAGGGAAAACTTAGAGGAGAAGATCTGAGCTTTAGACACGAAATGTTCCAGACTGGAGGAGCCAGCCTCCGTATTATGTCTAAACTTCGTCAGACGGTGAGAGCTTTGTGCCAGAAAAGTGTCTGGAAAGGAAAGATGAGCCAATCTTCTTGCAACCTTTCCCTTTGGTTATCTCCTCTGTTTTTGTCAATTTTTGACTTGGTGAGGAATCAAGATATTCAGAGTCATCAATTTACTCAGCCGACTGAAATGAATGGTTTCAATTTCTATCCACAGGTGTTCATTTGCATTTATCTGATGTTCCCTCTAGCTCATGGGGAGATGCTGTCATTTTGCTATTGTTTATAGATAAGTGGCACACACACTTCAGAGATCTTAATACCAAGAAGGTAAGCTTTCTTTTCCGTCTTGTAATTTGTAGCAGTTCTGTAGAAATCTGATAAAGCTGAATAAGAAACCGCAGTGGTGTGTATGAGATAAGGAGATATTTAGGGAGAGGAGCTGGCCTCGAGTGAAATTTCTTGACATAAGCGGAGGGTTTCTTCTGAGGGTGGACAGTCTGCCTCCCCCTTCCTATGCCTCTTCTCCCGGGGACCCGGGATGAATCGTCACCCCAAATAAACTGGACTAACTAATCCATCTGAGAGCTCTGGGCTTAGGTGAGATAAGTTATTACTATTGTCTGTTTAATACAGGTAAGGAAACTGATGCCCAGCTCAGAGTCACACAAGCCGGTGGTGGCAAACACAGGACTGGAAAACAGGTTTCTGGTTTAAAATTCAGTACTTGTCCAGATGCCCATGACGCCTAAGCTAACATTGGTTTGGTGTCTATAAAATCATCTGTATTTAAGGAAGAATTGGCTTTTACCTTTTTTTAAAATCAAATATGTTTGTAGCTACTACTAATACCATCTGCGTCGAGGGTCTAACATCTTCCCGTTCAGTTCAGGGTCACGGTGATGTAGGAGGGACCCAGACCCCAGGCTGCATATGCAGCCTCTTCCTTCTGAGCTGACCTGCGTGAGCGTGCACCCAGTGGTCAACCCCTGGGACTCCAGGACGAAATTTCACTACACTGTTATTTCAGGGGAAGGCTAAGCAAAAGCTATGGGCTTTTTCTAAAAGCATGAAGGCCTTTTTCAGTGAATGTAAAATTTCTGTTTTACTGTCAGCTGGAAGTTGCTAACCTCTCTCTGTTATTAACTTCTTAGCTGCCTTACAATCGCAACTTGTGAACCCGCAGAGCATCTCTTTCCTTTTCTAGTACCTTGGAATGCCCTAGTCCCTGCTGAGAAAGGAAAAGGTGTGTAACTAACTGACTATTCAGATTGTGGTCCTAATGATTAATATGCCATTCCTTCCTTGGATACGTGGTCCTTTTAAAAAACGCAGAAGTGTTCCTCAAATTATTCCAAGATAGGCTCTTTGCTTTCCATACGGATGATATTTTCAATGATAATTTGAACAGCTTCAGCGAAGGAGATAAGAACCTCTCCTTTTTTCCTGTGCTTGAATTGTTGACGCAGAATGAACAGACTGAAACTATGAAAGCGTCATGACGGGAAGCCAAGGCTTTGGGGCTGAGACAAATCTAGATTCATCCTTAGCCACGTACTAGTTGAGTGTCTTCAGGCACGTCCCAAACTGACCCTCAGGTTTTTCCCCTAAAGATAGAGGTAGCTCCTTGGCAAAGTGGTTGCAGGGTTAAATAAGCCGATACAGATGAACCCTCAACCTGACCACGCTGCGTTCCACCAATGACTCCACGTCTAAAGTGTGCTCAGCACAATATTGTTCACTCTCCTCTCTGGACAAAAGCTGTGGCTTCTTGGATTTGTGTCTTAAAACCAGGAAAATTTCTAGTATTGGCAGCAGTTAAAACCCAGAGAATGATTTAAAAGCTCCCCTGAGAAGTCAGAGAAAGCATTTTCACAGTAGAGATATTCTTCTTCTGCATCCTCAAAACTTTGCTGTTCAAAAGACTCCACAAGTTAAAAAAGAGAAAGAGATTAATTAGATCAAATCCCCACTCTCCTCTTCCAAGATCTGAATGAAATGTCATCAGGAGATACCTGCGTGCTGCACAGCCACAAACAGTTGAAATTTACAAACCCCCTGACTTTGTATTTCAGAAAATTGGATTTTGAGATCTAATTTTAGAATAACAAAGAATTCTGCACAGAGAGTCCCAAATGTTCCTGCTTCCCAAGGAGTTGTAATTTCAGGGCTTCGCTATGAAAATATAAATATACAATCTTTTATTTCTTTTCTTTTTGATAAATCACTTAATGTATAAACTCTGCAAAAGTCAACATTGGAATCATCGTATGCAGAACCATCATTTAATTCTCCAATAAGGGAAAATTTACTATGAGTACTCCATAGGGTCTCAATGATTTTTACAAAGGCCAAAATAAATCTATAAAACATGTATGCACGTTGACACATTTTTATTTTAAACTGATCTAAAACAAAACTGTTCTCCTTATCTGAGTTCCTCAGAGAGCCCACACTAGCAGTCTAGGGCCGGCCACCACCTGAGTGATCGTTTCGTCCACCACTCGACGCTTGGCACTGGGCTCCGCTCAGAAGACAGCATCCAGCCCAGCTCTGGGCACGATTCAGCCCTTAAAGCATGCTTTTATATTTTTTCATTTTTTTCCTCACTCCAATTCAAGGATGAGATCTTACTATGTGGTTTCAGCGTCATCTGTCCTTTACTTTGGGATTAAAAAAAAATCCAGGTTGAGCAGAATGTGACAACCTGTTCCTCAAAGTCAGTCGAACATCCATTTATTTTATCTAGCAGAGCTCCTGACTTGGAAACTTTCAGATTTATTGATAGAACTCTTATTCCGTTTTCTCCAACCTTCTCATAGGACTTACATTCTGCGCCGTGGATTTAGTCTCCACTATGTTGTTTCTGGTGTTACTCACTCTTTCCGTAAGTGGTCCTCTTGCTTCTAAGATTTAAGCTCCTAAAAGGGGACTCATCATGTCTTAAACTGTTCTTGAACCCCCCTCTCTGCTGAACACTGAGTTTGATGATTAATAGACCATCATTCTTGACTAGATGAATTAGAGTGAATCCCTGATGTCTGGAGATGGTGTCTCCAAACACCTCCCTTGGTTGGTTAACTAAGAGACTCAATTTAAACAAACATGTTTCCTAAAACTTTATTATTATGGAAAATTTAGAGAGAAGATGTATGATGAACCCCATGGACCCATCACCAGCTTCAACACTCATCAACTCATGGACACATGTGCTTCATAGAAGTAGTGTTTTTGTGATTAATAGATTACTTTTTGAGCAGTTTTTGGTTTACGGACAAATTAAGTGGAAAGTACAGAGTCCCCATATACTCCTCTCCCTCCCTCCAGTTTCCCAGATTATTAACATCTTGCATTAATGTGGTATGTTTGTTATAATTGATGAGCCAATATTCATATGTAACTATTAACTGACGTCCGTGGTTCACTGCAGTTTTCATTCTTTGTGTTGTACATTCTATGGTTTTAACAAATATATGATGACATGTATCTACCATTTCCATATCCTACAGAATAGGTTTACCAAATAGTCTTTAATATTAAGAAAATAGCTCTAACTAACTCCTGATTCCCTCAGGGTGAATTATATTCACGCTATTGAAGATGTTTCTATTCAAATTCTGTTCACATCTGTTGCCTATTAAGATGATTTCACATACATTGTGTCGTTCAATTCATAGCAATCTCCCTTGGTTGGCACTTTTATCCACGTTTACTAGATAAAGATATTGAAGCTCTGAAAGGTTAAGTAACTTTCCAAAGGTCAAATAGCTAGCAAGGGGCAGGGCAAGGATTTCAACCTAGATTAAGTGGGATTAATTCACGCTGCAAAATTTATGACTTGGTAAATGACAGAAATGCTAAAATTAGTCCTTTCTACCATTTGTGGAGCAATTGAGGATGTAATTGAAAGCGGATCCAGATGGCAGAAGGCTTCCCAGGGGCAAGGTCTCACCCTGTGGTAGAGGAGTGATGAGCTGGAAGTGGCGCAGGGACCGCCTGGCGCCCTGCCCCTGCTCCGCTGGGGCATGTGTTGTGTGTGAGAACCAACAACTGCTAGAGATGCGCTGGGTCCAGGGAGAGAGCCAGGTTCCCATCAGGCTGTGGACCTGGAGGTAGGAAGTGTATTTGCTGTGGGATAAAGGTTCCGTATGGTACAGAGGAAAACTGATATGGGAGAAAGGAGCAACGGGAGGCTGTACAGGGGCAGGGAAGCACAGGGTGCCACAGGGATGAGCACAGAAGCCAGAGGGGGTCATACCTCAGCTAGTTACTACGGAGGAAGAATGCGAGGCAGTAAGGGTTTAACTGACCACAAGGGTTTCAAAGGGATCCCCCTTTTCAGCCTTCAGCAAGGATTAGAGTTGGCAACCCCAACTCTGCGAGGGAAAGTCTGCAGTCAACAGCCTGCTCTCCAGTTGCTCAGGAACACGCTGCCTGAGAGGGAGTCCGACACCCAGCATGGGACACACGGTGTGTTTCTGCCGGGTCCCAGCGGGTGGTAGCCTGGGGCTGAGCGTGGCCTGGGTTGACGCACAGGTAGGACAGCCCCTTGAATCCTGGGCTGTCGGCTTGGTTTTGATGGGGTGATTACTGGAGAACATCAGGCTTGCGAGTAGGACAACGACGGAGGAAATAGCTTTCGAGAAGACTTCTGCCCTTTGCAGATGGAGTGTGGGGCCAGGTCTATGAAAAATCGTGTCGTTGGGGAAGGACACTCCCCAGTTCCAAACTGCCCTCTTCTTCCCCTGCTGTGGCTCTTGTCTACTCTCTCCCATCACTCCACCAACCATGCTGCAGGGCCCACCAGAGGAGTTTCTCCTCTGGGTGTATTTTCATACAAACGTCTTGGCTCTCTGTACTCCATAAGCATGTACCTGTTTGTCTCTAATCCTATACTAACAGGCCCTGCTATTTTTATAATCATGGAGTATGCATGTTATAAATCTGTCCCAACTACTCATCCTGTGATTAAATGCCCCCACTCTACCTCCACCAAGTGGTCTTGTCATCTGTACTTGAACGCAGTCAGGGACAGAAAACTCACTACCTTAAAATGTAGCCTAGCTTTGGATAGGTCTGAGTGATACAAAGTTCTTCCTAGTGAGTTAGAATCCTTATAAATCCTCGCCCTTCTACAGGCCCTTCCTTCAAATGCCTGCTCCCAGGTTTGTCTTGCTGGTGCAGCTGCGGAATGTCTGTCCCTCCGACATTAAATGCCGATGCAGAAGGGTGAGTTCCCAGGTGAGAAATCTGCCTCTTCGCTTCGCTTAACTCCGTGCCAGACTGTGTGCAAACCATGAAGATTAATTTAATTTGATTAATCCTCTCAACAATGCTAAGAGGGAAGTGCTGTTTTCTTTCTGCGAGTGAATAACCATGACTTAGAGAAAAGCCTGGTTTACCTTAGGGTCATGCTGCTCTTTAGGGGCAGAGCCGGGCCCTAAGCCTGGGTCCTTTGACGTCAAGGCCCATTCTCTTGACACGTGACTGAGAGTGACCTTCTGCAGACAATGACCTGTCCGATGGAGTAATCCAATGCTGGACGTCCAGGAAAAATTTCAAGTCTTGAGGCTGCGGGACAATTTGAAACTTTTTTTTTTACATTTCCAAAAACATAGTATATAGATTGACTATTATCTTTGTTACTCTCAAGGCCAAGATTAGCGTGATGGGATGGTGTCTTCTCAAGGTAAGAGAAACTAGCTGCTGTGACAGCAAACTCTAAAAATCTCATGGCTTAACACAAAAGAGTCTTACACAAAGTCTAATGCAGGTGCTCCTCTTGGCCAGGTGGCCTTCCATGTGGCCTGTTATGAGTTGAAAACATTCATATGTTGAAGCCCTAAGCCCCAGTACTCAGAAAGTGAACTTATTTAGAAATAGGGCTGTTACAAATGTAATTACTTAAGATGAGTAGGGTGGGCCTCTAATGCAATAGGACTGATGTCTTTATAAAATTGGGAGAATGCCCTGAGAAAGCGAAAATGACCAGCTACAAGCCAAGAGTTATACATCCTTCTTTCACAGGCAATATTAACCCTTGAGCATAGGCTTCTGGCCTCTGGAACTGTGAGACGAGAAATCTCTGTGGTTGAGCTGCCTAGTTTGTGGTACTTTGTGACAGCAACCCTAGCAAACTAACACATGGCCCCACAGGGGCTTTTTCCCATCTCGTGGCTCTGCTACCCTCCAGAGCCTCAATGTTCTTTACTGGAGGCTCGGCGTTTGGCCAGTGGAAGAGGGAAGGGAGCATGTGGAGGGTCACATAGGAATTCTATGGGGCAGGAACGGCAGGGATATACATGTCTTCTGCCTGCATTTCTTTGGCAAGATGTCAGTCACATGGCCAAACCTACCTACAAGAGAGGCTGGAGATGTAGGCTGACTGTGTGTCTATGAGCTGGAATAAACAGGGATCAATAAGCACATAGCAGTCCTTGCCACAATAACTTAGAGTAGAAAGACACTGGAGGAAAGGGGCCACTTCTGGGAGGCTCGACAGGAACCATCCGTCACCCACTCACTCCCTCATCTCTTCACCAACTATTTATTGTGTCCCTATTATCTGCCAGCACTGAACTTGATACAGGGATAGAGCAGGAAACAGAAGAGATGGATTTTCTGCCTTCCAAGAGCTTGCACTGTGACAACCTGTGAAAAAAGAGCAAGTTCCCCAGGGAGCTTTTCAAAGGTAGTCCTGTGTGAATGGCCAGAGCAGCCTTCTTAGATGGTGAGACATTTAAGCAGAAATAAGAAGGAGATACTCATCTGCAATCCCTTCTCTGCAATTCCAAATCCAAGCAGCTCTGAAAACAAGGTTTTTTGGAAAGCTATTTGGTAATAAAACCTGATTGATTTGGACACATTTGATGGAAAATCCTGATCTGAATGGACATGAGGTTATGTGTAATCTTTATCTATCATACTTGGTGTGAATATTTACAGGTCTTGCTGAGGAAAGGTTGATATGTTTGATTGCCCAAATGGATCAAGGAATAGTATTGTTAGGAAGCTGGACAGGGTTACTAGGGAATTGAAACAAAGGGGTGAATTTTTTTTTTGAGGAAGATTAGCCCTGAGCTAACATCTGCTGCCAATCCTCTTCTTTTTGCTGAGGAAGACTGGCCCTGAGCTAACATCCGTGCCCATCATCCTCTACTTTATACGTGGAACGCCTACCACAGCATGGCTTGCCAAGTGGTGCCACGTCTGCACCCGGGATCTGAACCGGTGAACCCCAGGTCGCTGAAGCAGAATGTGCGCATTTAACTGCTGCACCACCGGGCCGGCCCCAAAGGGGTGAATTTTAATGAGAACAAAAGATGCCACGAATCGTCTTCAGGACATATTTCAGCCACCCATGTTTATGGACATCTGTAATATTCATTCTTACAGTGGTTCTAATAATTGAATTTCATCTCTCTGACGTCAAAGAGGAATCGTCAGTGGTTCATCCAATAGCTGGAGCTGCAGACGCAGGTGCAAGCAATCCTGAGAGCAGCACTCAGAGCAGTACTTTTAGGGACCATCTGACTGGACCTGTGAGCCATCTTAACAGAGAGAGTGGGCTAAAGATCTAGGGTTTCTGCAGGCTGGGGACTTTGAGACAAAGGTGATTATCAGGGCCATTGTGACATAAAATTGTCTTCTCAATGGCCATGGTATGGGGGGAACAACAGCAATGTTAGCGCTTCCAGAGAAGTTTTGCTTGCTTATATTTCCACAGATAATATCTGGAATCCACAATAAAAGAAAATGTTAGTCCCAGTTACTCAGTTTCAAGATTGTAAACACAGATGAGCAATGAGGAGGTCAGAGCCACCTTGTTCTTCAAATCAAGAAATCTGGGAAGTGACTAATGCAAAGCAGGGTTGTCTAACAGCGCTCTCTTTGTGATAATGGAATGTCCTGTGATTTGTGCTCTCCAATATGGTAACCACAAGCCCCATGTGGCTATGGAGTACTTGAAATGTGGGTAGCGTGATGGAGAAACTGAATTTTTAGTTTTATTTAAAATTAAATGGCCACATGTGGCTAGTGTCTATAATATCGGAAAGCTCAGATGTAACGAGTTACCTTTTCTCATGTAATAATTACACCATGATTGGAACACAGAGTAAGAATTCTGTTTCCTTGCAAATCAAACACAAACATCAACTGTGGGACGTTTTTGAAGGCACGTTGACACTGTTTCATTTCTATAACTTTGTTTCCCCTAGAAGAGTGTTCTAACCTGAGGGAGCATATGAGAAACCCAAGGAAAGACTCTTTGCTCTAAATTCTCTGCTTTCAATTACTGATCTTTACACCTTTGGTATTTTTTGTCCTCTTAGCAAAGCAGAAAGAGAAAAAAACAATCATAGAGCAACATAATTACGTTGGTATGTAGAAATCTCGTGTTTGACATTTCCTCAGCTAAAATGTAGTCATTCCACTTCTTGTGGTGGGATTCACTCGCTTCAAGCTTTAGCCTTTTTCCTGGTGACCAACAGGGGTGCTGTCTTCAGAGGCAGGGACGCATTTCATTTACCCTCGTGTGGCGGAGTGTCTGTACTGCGGGCATTTGATAAATGTATGTTGGATGAATTGGTTATCACAATCATACAATGCTTAGGTTTACTTGGTAGATACTAAGTACCGCAATTCTCCAGATACTTTGAAAACTCCTCCTGATGCAACCTAATTTAAGCCAGAGTAAGGTCAGCTTTACAGAGACAGAGCTTAAAATTTTACACTGAATGGAATAAAATGAAGCTTATAAAGAGAACTGTAATGTGACTTCTCTATAGGTATGAAAGGATGATGTTGGACCTCCCACTTTATAGATATTTAAGGACAGTGCCAAGGACAACCTCTTTCAAATATTCTACACTTTAACTTAGAAAGAAAGGAGAAACAGAAGAGAGTCTCAGAGTCTTTTCTAGCCCTGAGTTCTCAGGTGTGAAAACTGAAGAAATTTAGCCTGATAAATCCCTTATAACTTTTCCATATTAAAAGAAAAGATCAAATTCTAAAGAATTTTTTCAAACGAATATTCAATAATTGGACCACTGTGAATTTTTTGATTTGAAATTATTGCACTGAAAATCTGTAATTTTGTTTCCCAACTAGCCACAGCAGGTCTAAGTTTTCGATTAAAACCCACATCCCTGGAGTAAGTACCTAAATTAAAACAAACACACAACTATAAATAACCTTGCAGAAATATCTGTGCCAAGTGGCAGATACAAAGTAATGGCAGAAAAACAGAGAATTCTGCTTCATCTTCTTTATTATGTAAATGCTTAGAGCGTTGGATTTCTTTTCCCTCAGTTAGTATAGATTCAATGGTAATCATTTGCAAAAGTGCGTTTAGAAGTCCTATTGCATTGCTTCTGCTAACATCCTCTGGATTACCCCAAAGACCGTATGGATTTCTCTGACTGGGGTCAAAAGCCTAGCTGTATGTTTCCCCGTTTGTTCTCCACTATCAAATTTTTATTTTTGCAAAGGAGGGAACCAGGAGAGGCTACTGGCATCCCTGGAAAGTCTGTCATACAACGCTTGATTTGCAATTGTCTAGCCCTGGTTTGCTGTAGAGTCACTTAGCCAGACACTAGGACTTCCTGACTCTTTCTCTAGGCCCTTCTAGGCAAGTGTGATATCACCTGTTCATACTTGCAGGTAACATGCACGCACATTTCCCTACCCGAGGACAAGGTCTTTGCATACACTGTGCAAAGTAACAGAGTTTCAGCAAGAGATAAATGGCACCATGTAATGGATAATTTTTTAAATAGCTAATTATCATTAACCAAAAACCGTCATAAGTGATAGAGATAATAACAAGGTTTATTATCTGATATGGTGGAAGGAGAAAGGAAGGTTTTGTGAGGTATGTTAAGCCATCTTGGCCGTTTACAATTTACCACTGTCGGTAGCCTCGATGAGAGGGGGGGAACTGCATGTCGCCTCCCTCACGACTTTCCCACCAGCGTTTCCCACCAGATTCTGAGGTGTGTATAAAATAGTCCCACGACTGGTTTGGGTAAGCTTGGTGCAGTCATGGCTTTTCTGGGCGTTCTTGCATGAAAGCAGCCCTAGACCGATGGAACAGGTATTCTCCTGGCAGCCGGGTGGATCCGCTAACAGAACCCTCCCCTGAGTGGGAGCATAGGGCCGGCCGGAGTTCCGTCCCTGGAGCGCTCCATCAGGGGAGCTCGGCTACAGGGCCGCTCCGATTCCCAGAGCCCAGGCAAGCAACGGGGGGGGGGGGGGGGGGGCCGGTTTCTACACAAATCTTTCCACGTAACCTTTTATCATAAGCACAACTTACTTTGCCAATAAAAAATAATTTCTAATATCCTTTAAGCTATATAATCAACCCTCCTGGGGCATATTTGAAGTATTTGCCACTGGAGCGTAGATTCTTCATTAAGATCCCTTCCGTTTTAACTAAGCACCCTTGGAGTATGAATTTCTGATTGGGACACTTCCGATCTTCTTTAACGGCCTCTAGAAAGTATAGCGGTGTACACAATGCAGATACAGAGACACTTCCAGTAAGTCACAGGCAATTTGATAGAATGGTGGAGGGAATGGAGAGTGCGGCTGAGCAAGCAACAGCTATTAAAGATCCAGCTTAAAGATTTGGGAAACTGTATTCTATTAGCCACATAACTGTCTTTTAGGGCCATCTTCACCACTGTT